ATTAAGCTAGCCCAATCCCCTGACCTTCCCACAGAGAACGGAAACCGACCCATGTAGAATTCCAATATGCTGACCCCAAGGCTCCATATATCACCGGCATACCCATCATACTGGCCATGATTGAGATCAGTATTGATCCTCTCAGGGCTCATATAAGCTATGGTGCCCACAGAAGAATTGCAAGGGTCCATGGTCTGTTCCAAAATCCGACTGACCCCAAAATCGGCGATCTTGACCTGGTTCCTACCGTTGATCAAGAGATTCGAGGGCTTGATATCGCGATGCACGATCTTACGTCTATGGAGGTAGGCGAGGCCGCTCAAGATTTGCTTGGCCAAATCGGAGAGGGTCTTCTCGTTCTGGATGAGCTGGCCCTCCAGCGACCCGCCGTCCATTAACTCGAGCAGCACCTCGATCTCGCCGTTGTGGTCGAACATGTCGTGGCACTTGACGACGTTGGGGTTGTCGACGCCGCGGAGGATTTCGATCTCTCGGCAGATCTGGCGGCGGGCGGCTTCATCGTGGTGGCCGTATATGACTTTCAGCGCGTACTGACGACCCGTCGGGCGGTGGATGACCTTGTAGACGGTGCCTCCGGTTCCGCTCCCGATGCGGTTCGAGCGCTCGAGCTCGTTGAAGTTGATGAGCTGCTGGGCGGCGCTGTGGGCCGAGGTTGATTGGGCCGAGCTGGGCCCGGGCGGAGGAAGGGGCAAGGGCACGGCGAGGGACGCTTCCCGCTGCGGGAGAGGTAGGGTTAGGTCATGACGACGTCGTCTCGGGTTGTCCCCACGCCTGGCGGGAGGTAGGTTCGCTCCGGGCGGTGGTTGAATCCGACTCATGATGAAAACCAACACTTGTTCTTCTCTTTCTGCGGCTGCTGATGATGAAACGACGTCGTTGCCGGGTCTTTTAGAAACCGCGTCGTTCGGGGGAATTGGAAGGGGAGGGGGGGGGTGTGTTTGGGTTAATGAGGATGGCGAAGACGACGATGATGGAGATCGTGAGGATCACGAGTCATCGTTTGATGGTTTGATTGGTTGAGTGATTGATTGATTGGTGTCGTTTTTTATTTTAATAGATAAAGAAAATAGAAATTCCTTTCTTTGGTTCTCAGAATCGGAGACTTCTGTAAGGAAAAGAGGAGGAAACAACGAGAAAATTAAAAGAAACAAGAAAACGGAGCTTTCTTTCTTTCTCTCTGGTTTTTTTTGGTGGAAAATTAAAAAACAATTATTATTATTTATTTATTTTTTATTTTTTTCAGGTCCAGAGAGAGAGGTAGCAATCAAAAGAGGGAATCGAGATTTTAAAGGCGGCAGAGCCTCACGCCCTAGCGGGAGAGAGTGGGCGAGAAGGACCAATCAGTGTCTGGTGGTGGGCCCCGCAGGCATTTTTGGGAGGGAGGGTATATAAATGTGATTTTTCCTTTAGCTCCGCGCGTGAATTTTCCCGGCATCGGGTATCTCGTGGAAAATTTAAGACAAATAAATCCAATCTGGACCCCACCGAATTAGGCAACCCTTTTACGGTGCGTTTTGTGACGCATTATTATTTTGGGTTTTTTTTTATTTTTTTATTTTTCCCTGTATACCTTTCTACCTCGTTTACCCTGTGTGTCATTGCATGCGTACAAGCTGCAGCAGCAGCACACGTCTTGTAAGTGGAAAAGAAAAAGAGCTGATTAAAGAAAATTAAAGAATTGAAAAGGTTAATTGTCTTAGGCTTACCCGCCGGCGGTCAAATGAGGTTGATTTGGTTTGGGGTTAGGAGTTGGGTGGGCCTGGGCCCTACTCCAATACCTGGGCTCTCATGCGATTACGTGGGACCCAGCCTACCACTGCTGCAACATGATTGGACTAAAAAACAAAACAAAACAAAGTAATGCCTAGTCGGCAGAGATTAATCACTATGTACGCAATCACAATCTTTCTTATGCTAATAATCATGGATTATCTATAATCATTATTCAATAATTTTTTGTTCTCCATACACTAACTATGTCATCATTGGGCTTGTGTCTTTGGCAAAAAGTTTGTGTAAGCCCAACCCAATTACAACCTAGGCATCATTCAATCTTACCTCTGCGAGCCACCCATACAGCGATTTCTATTCGTAGATGCATATGAATGTAGCACGCATACTTCAATGACCGCCAATAACTTATTGTTGAACTAAAAATCAACGATCGAAAACGTTCAATTTTTAAGTCATCATTCAAGGATAATAATCTATGCAACAAATAAGTTGAATCATGATGTTATTGCAATTGCGGGATCCCAGAATTGAAGCTCGACCCATGTGATGTTCTTTTTCTCAAGTTACAAATTAAACTCGACCCTTATTTGATGACTTTCTTGAGCAGGAGTCAATCTTTGCCTGCAATTTGTAAGCTCATTAATCCATCCACACACATATTCTCTCACTCAAAACTCGAAAAGCCAGATGTGTCCCACGAAAGTGAAACGTGTGCGTTGGTCGATATGACACATCAATATTTGAAGCTGAAATTGAAAATAAAACCTCCACATTAATTTTTTTTTCTTTTGCGTTAAAAGTCTACATGAACTTATTTTCAATCAATCTCCATCTGGTCTGAATCTGGACCCCACGCCTCAAAAAAACAAAAACCAAAAAGAAAAAAGAAAAAGGGATGTGTGCATTGTTTGGAAAAATAGGGACAAAGACAGCCTTGACAATGAGGAGTCTCACAGGCAATTGACAATTATATGCAACGTGTAATATCTGTGTGTCTGTATGTAGACAAAAGCAGTGGACTTTTCCAGATTTTTCTTTCTTTCTCCAACTTTGAAACCCTATTTTTCATCACCAGAAAATAAAGAAGAAGAAAAGAAAACTTTGAAACCCTACCGTTTGTGCCCTGCCAGCTATTATTTTGGGATGTTCCTGGTAATTTGCTGGTTGCTTCTTTGCAGATTGCAGCTCATATATTTTTCATTTCCTTGCATCTTCTGGCTTGGACAAATAAAACCCGTCAAGCAAGCCAAGCAAGAAAATCAACACATGCGCTCTCCAACCCAACTGCCATAATTGAAGTTTCATTCACATGGTTGGTGGCTATTATCCTAATCTATTTTTTTAATTCGAGGCTAACCCGAATCCTAATCCAATAATCCTAAAATCTAGTTGCTGTCAAAGGACAGAGGAGGTATGCATGTGCATATATAAGTGTAAACTGCCAAATTGCCCCCCAAACTTTCACCTAATTTTGAATTAAGAATACAAACTAGTCTCTATAGTAATGATATGTTTACTAATCCGTAATGGGAATCAAAATAAGGAGTTCAATTCCGATTACGAATTACTCCTGCGTTTATGTCACATAAAGTAGGTTAAGTTGCGCTGGTTCATAAATAGTCAACAAAAGGAATATATATAGTGGCTTTTGGCTTCATACATTTGCCTCTGTGTGTACATGAATTGCAACCCTAGAAATTTTTATTGGGTTAGTCTATTTGTGGAAGCTTGAGCTTTTGACATTTTTGTACAAATCAAACATCGAGCTTCCCTCGAGACAAATTTACATAAAGATGCTAAGGCATATACAATATGAAAACATTAACTACAAAAAAAAAAAAAAAAAAAAAAAAGCAAGAAAATCAACACATGCGCTCTCCAACCCAACTGCCATAATTGAAGTTTCATTCACATGGTTGGTGGCTATTATCCTAATCTTTTTTTTTAATTCGAGGCTAACCCGAATCCTAATCCAATAATCCTATAATCTAGTTGCTGTCAAAGGACAGAGGAGGTATGCATGTGCATATATAAGTGTAAACTGCCAAATTGTCCCCCAAACTTTCACCTAATTTTGAATTAAGAATACAAACTAGTCTCTATAGTAATGATATGTTTACTAATCCGTAATGGGAATCAAAATAAGGAGTTCAATTCCGATTACGAATTACTCCTGCGTTTATGTCACATAAAGTAGGTTAAGTTGCGCTGGTTCATAAATAGTCAACAAAAGGAATATATATAGTGGCTTTTGGCTTCATACATTTGCCTCTGTGTGTACATGAATTGCAACCCTAGAAATTTTTATTGGGTTAGTCTATTTGTGGAAGCTTGAGCTTTTGACATTTTTGTACAAATCAAACATCGAGCTTCCCTCGAGACAAATTTACATAAAGATGCTAAGGCATATACAATATGAAAACATTAACTACAAAAAAAAAAAAAAAAAAAAAAAAAAAAAAAAAAAAAAAAAAAAAACACGAGGTGGGAATGGGATGGGACGCAAATTGACTTATCATTTGTAATTGTTTGACCTGGGTTTATAAATGCTATCGATAGAAATATGTTATAATAGGTGTATATTTATTAATATTATGTCTATTTTTTAATTTAAATTTTACGCAATTGTCAATTGATATTAAGCAAGATAATTGAACATAAGACCCGAGGTGTAAGAGGTAAATGTAACTATTTGACGATATTTCAGTACTATACAATAATCTACCCGAAGTTTGATCACATTATCATTTATAAAGATTCTTCCGAAATCCCATCACTCGTGTGCAAATATTTCTGCAAACAATAATACAATAATATAAGATGTATATGAGGACATCAATAATGCTCTAATTGTCTATATTGACTTACACCTAACTGTGCTTTCCCAGTTTGCAACCCATGCATAAAAACAGGGGGAAATTTCATTTTAGTCAAAAGAATATTTTTAATACTAGGAATTAGTCAAATGCTATTTTCTTTTCATTTAGTTTTAGATCATTGCATTCCCAGAAAACCAAAATAATGTAATCATTCCCCACCCGTTCGGCTAAAAAAGATTCCCACTTGTATTTAAAATTTTTGATTGAAGGGACAGCTCAAATTTTGAATTCTAGCAATCTTCTCTCTAACCTTCTCCTTAACATGCACAGTCGGCAGTATACAAAGCACAAACTTTGAATGGACCTAAATAAAATTCATCACATTAACAAAACACTTCCTAAAGGCTTCAGTTTATGCCATATGTATGTACAATCAAAATGGATACTATAAATCACATTCATTACAGGATTTCAGTTTAGGGCAAGTGTGATTGATTGTTGTAGTATGTATATAATATCATTCTGTGTAACTCTACAAGTCCGGAGCAGATTTCACAGTTAACCTTTTCTCAGGTGCCGACATATGGTCCTCGGTTAGAGACAGGAGGGCCGGACGAGTATCTCCATTCTCCGCAAGCTGAGCATCTATCTAGCTCAACTCTGTTGTCTAGGGTACAAAATTTGCAAGACCAAACCTTAAACTTCACATCCTCTTTTAAGGTCCCGCAGGCTGAACATCTCAACGCCAACAGCTGCAACAACCTCAAAGCATGAAAATGCACATCTGTCATCGGATACACTCTAGAACATCCACAATTCCAAAACACAGGAGGGATACAAAAATGATTAAAATAAAAATAAGAAACTAAGGGCAAGTAAAAGACCTCACCCCAACTAAGAAGAATGTATGACTACCATTCCTAGAGTGTTCTCTCTTGCTATAATTTTCGGGGTCTGAGTAGTATCACACTCTTTACAACATTTCTTTTGGGTCAAAAGTCGAGATTCAATTTTGAAAATCCAACCAAATATCACAAATTTATCAAGAATATCAAATCAAATCCGAGGATAGGACAAGGTTTTCAGGATTAGGGACTCTTACATCCTCTGGCCAAAAACAAAAACAGTACAGAACAGGATATTGAAAAGAAAAAAAACACCACCACCAACAACAAAATAAAAATCTCAACAGTTTATCTGCAGTCAGCTTGAGAAACAATTATTAGTGTTGAACTAAAAACCTTCACGTGTAAAGGCATAAATTTTCAAGAAAGAAGTAATATATAGAATACAGTGCCATGTTAAACAAAAAAAGGTTGACATGCTAAAATTGACAAAATACAAGGGAGATATGAGTGTGGGTGTGTGTGTGCAAAGAACTAATCGAGCTCCAGCACCAATAACAACAACAATAAATCAATTTTGTACTGACAGTTCGACAAAATTATATAGAGAATAACTTTACCTCATTTAATAAAGTGCACATATTGCATTTCCACTTTGCTTGATCATCTATTTTTCCCTGACCTGACCTCGACTCAATAGAAGTCTGGGTAGATATGCCATTAGTAACTGTGAAAGCTTCTGCCCCTTGAGAAGTCCCAACATTCCCCTGGACTTCAATGCCACCCTCCAAAGACTTGGATCCACACCATAAATCATCATGTAGTCTCCTTTCTGCAGCCATAGCAGCAGCTTGTATTGGGCTCAAAGCTGCCTTAATGTTGCTATCACCACCTAAACGCCTAGGTCCTGATGGTAGTAAAGCTCCACGCCGTGCTCTGTTTTCAGCAGCAGCCAAGGCAGTCTGACGTATAGATGACAGAGGGGGTTGACGGGAGAAACCACCCAAACGTTTCCCAGGAAGATCAAATCCTTGCGCAGTCCCTGTAATCCCTTTAGCCATCAGTTCCTCACATTCCTGCAGAAACCCATGGGAACCAAATTAGTGACAGACAATCATCCCTAAAGCATGCATTTACAGAAAGCATAGAACTACAACATAAAATAGTAGCTAATGTATGCAATTGGATACTGAGAATACTTAATTCAATTATTTAAGAAGATATTCACAAAGAGTTAAGCACAAATGTATTATGGAACAACACCTCACTAAAAGTTTCAATTCAACAGGAACTATAAATTAGACAAGAGCATAGAAAACATCATCAATTAAAATGTTGAAAGGCTTCACTTGAGCCTTTTATAACTTTCCATCACTAATCAGAGTCAGAGAATTGCCATCAGTTAGGAACGCTTCAGATAAAATAAGAAATTACTTTCAAAATGTGAGCTTTGCATTTATATACAAACCGTTTTCCAGGCAGTCCATAAACAATCTAACAATATAGAAGTAGGGGTTACATAATAGATGGCCGTGAAAAGCACTCTTAAAACTTTCTAGGGTCGTGAAAAGCACCAGGAAAAACATTAGAAAAAAGATAATATGAAAAGCACCAGGAAAATAAGTACTTTATAGGCATGAAAACAAATAAGATAATTACCCTTCTGATCTCATCCAAAAGTTTGTAAAAGTCAGCATTATGAGGACCATACTCGTTGTGGCAGAGCTCGTGCAGCATTGTATCAAGGATCTGTTCATACGGGTAGAAATCCCACTCATTGTTTGGCCTCCGTAGTCTGAGCTTAACTTCGGCACCTCCTCCTACATTGAGCCCCTGAAGAGCTGGATTGGCAGGGCTGCATTTCAAACTTGCAAATGACAGCGGGAAACATACAATAAAGCACAAAAAAGTTTCCAGATAGAAGTAAAAAGTTTACCAGAATTCAGAAAGGATTCTGACTTTCCAATTATGTTTCCGCATTATGGGCTGTACTTGTTTTGCCACCTTCTCAAGTATTTCTCTTGCATCCTCTTCCCCAATTTTCTTGAGTGGTTTGATTTCCCAAACCTTGTTAAGATCGTTAAGATCCATGTCTACTCAAACTAACAAACGCTGCCCTCTGCACAGTAGCAAAATCAACTATTCAATTTTCTCTTTACAATACCATTTAAAAATCATAGACAATCTTTCAGAAATGAAATAGAAAAAACAAACAAAAACCCAAATTAACAAACTTAATTTCAACAACCCTCCTGGCAAAAAAATCTAATCTTCCATTAATCAGCTCACAAAACCCTAACAAAACCCATTAATCAGCTAAACTTTGAAGTTCAAAATTACCAAATCTTAAATTTTGGGTATTTTAATTTCTAGTCCAATTTCAAAATTACCTGAAGTTCTTCTGCTCGGTGCTCAGCTGGCGCTGACAGGCCTTCTGGGAGCCAATCAGCCAAGAGGAGCTTGAATTTGAAGGAGAGAGATGATGACTTCTTCTCGCTTTCGTACTGGCCCCGAACGATGTCGTTTTAAAAATCAACACATTCTACTTTAATTAAGATTTATGAAGGGCATCATCAGATGCTGTTAGGCAGTTAGTCCATCGGCCCCACCCCTGATATGAACTTACATTCTTACCCCTACGTTCCATGGCAAGTGGGGTCTCTTCAAATTCAACGGTAGATGATTGGATTAACCAGATGGACAACTCTGTTTGTGGCCACAGAGGACTGTTGCTTTTTGCCGCTAAATAACGATTTTCAACTGAATCTTTAACCAAAAAGACACTATCTTCCTCTCTACTACTTGTAAAGAGAAACAGCCTCTCTTCCTCTCCCTCTCTCTCTCTCTACGAAACACCAAGAAAATTATCTCACCTCTGAGAAACACCGGGAAAATCTCAGCCATGGCGAGACCCATTTGGTTTTATCTACAGCACTTGGTGTTCTTCATGTTTCTAAATGTCATTGTCGCTTATGCCAGCAGGCGCTCACACCGGCCTCATCAAGGTAGCTCTTTTTCTCTTTCTCATTTAATTCGTTCGTTGTTTTTGGCTTGAATTTCTGTATGTGTGTGAGAAATTGTGAATAGAGAAGACAATCGTGCTTGAAATGCTGACAAGTTTTCATTTTTTTATGTCTGAAAGTTTTCAATTTTCTCTGCGTTTTTTCTTGGAAACCAAACTGTGGGTTACACTTCTCTGTTGTGCTCTAGTGAATCCAGCGCAACTATGTAGCTTTATAGAGGTTATAAAATAAGACCCACATATGAATTTTCTTTTCTTTCCCTATGATGTTATGGGATTTTCTTTTTTGACGTTCTTGAAACCCATTGTCAACTGGTTTCTCTGTTTGGTAACTAAGAAAGTGCAAAGAAAATGTAACCCTCTGCTCGAGTGAGCCCAGTGCAACTAGTTTCTTAATAATCATTAGCAAAACCAACCGACTAGTTTGTTATTTTTGCTTCAAGTTTTCTGGGTAACCAAAAAGGGGTTAATTCTGCTCTGTTATTGTAGAGAACTATGTTAGCTCAACTTTGATTTCCACGTAGTAAACTTTATTTTCTTGGACATTTGGTTTTTCTTTGAGTTTTTTCTTGGCAACCAAACAGAGGCTACCTCCTCTCTGTTTTCTCATAGAACCGAGTTACCGCAATTTTGTTTTCAACAGAACATACTTCCGTTTCTGCTCCGTTTATGTTTGCTTTAATGCCTCTTTATAGCCAAACAGAGGCTAATTATTCTCTGTTTTCTTGCAGAGCCAAGTTACCTGAAATTTGTTGTCAACGCCACAGATTTCCCATCTGAAGATTACTATGACTACATTATCGTTGGAGGTGGCACTGCTGGGTGCCCCTTGGCTGCGACACTATCATCTAGATTTCGTGTACTCGTGATCGAACGGGGTGGTATTGCTTATGGAAATCGAAACTTGATGACCAAAGAAGGTTTCTTGGCCACACTCATGGATGTCAACTCCTTTGACTCGCCTACACAAGCCTTCACATC